GTTGAGGGTTTCGACACGGCGACTGCTCCTATGAAGGGCGTGTCTTTTGTCCGGATGATGCATTGAATGTGAACTTGCTGCGGAATCCTCCCTTCGCTCGATCTGAACCTTAAGTTAGGCCTCAAACGGCGCTAAACCATAAATTCTCTTGCTTGCGCGCACCATGCTCCAAGCTCTGAGTTCTACCGAAAGCTTCTCGTCATCGCAGCACGCTCGTGGGACGAGTGCACCCTGAGCCCCTCTCATTCAAAACCAGGATTTTTGAGTCCGATAAACATTTTGTTTTGAGCTCATTGTCTTCGGTGCCATGAGGTCCCGAAGAGGCTTCGAACCCGATAAACTGTAAACTTCAAACCCTTATGTAACTAGTAACGAAACCGCAAGTTCTCAATGACGACCTCAAGCAGCATACGGCGCTGCCTCCCCGAGCTAGATGCTGCATTTGCACTTTGAAACCCACTTGCACCAGAGGCGCGTCACCGTGAAAAAACCTGGACTTTGCGCAGCTTCCCAGATAGCATCAGCCTCAGGTGGTATGGCTCTTTAGGACTTTAGCAGTGTTTGTGCCATATTTGGCGACTTTAGCGGCCTATTGCTTCAAGAGGGGCTTTGTGTTTCATAGCTGCAGGGCCAAAGAACTATCCAGCAACAGCTCTGGTTTTGCCGTTGCTGATGCTTGCTTTTGAGAAGTCTCCCAACTACGCCGATGAGCACCCTCACACCGTGTATTTTAACCAGTAGCCGCCGCATTTCAATTTCTCGATTCTTCTGATCCCAAGCAGGACCCTAAAATAGTACTAAATCGTAGGATCCTTATCATGAGGACCCCAAAATAAGGTACCCCTGTGTTCTTATGGATCCCAAGCAGCAGCACCCTCTTTGCTCATGTCGATGATGGGCACTTGGCCATCAATCGCAGTGCGAGCTCCTCAGCGCTGGCACCAAACGTTTAGGGTGTAGAGCCTGGGGCTTGGGGTTTAGGGGTTTATAGGGTTTAAGGATTTTCACTCCTACTTAGCAAGGACAAAGCCCGCATTGCAGGGTAACTCCGCAGTAACGGTTGAAGATGTTTAGGGTTGACTACCTGATAAGAACCCCAAAAGTTGAAAAGTCGCGGTTACAGCCACTAAGCATATATTCGCTACACCTCATTTTAACAAGAGACCTTCCGCACCAAGCACGCATCATGCACTGTCCAATGTTCACTTGTCTCCCCACCCACATTCGATGTAGCCATGCGCATTCAATGACGCGTCGCAGCATCCACAAGCTCCCTCAACCGCAACACCCTCAAGATCACGTAAGCAGGTCTCTTCTAGGGTGACGCCCTGGATCCCTGAATCAGTATTCGGACTCTTACAACGAGGATCCTCGGAAGGAGCGCAGCTTGCCGAAAGAGTCTGAAAGCATACAAACATGGGCCGTGAAGTTTTTCTCCAGCACCACTGGACTGTAAACCCTAGCAAGCTGGTAGCCGTCGACCCTCACCGTCTGTTGCTGCTTCTTCTGCTGCCAAGGTGCCCATGCCAGAAGCGCCAACGAGCCGCTCGATTTCCACCTTTTCTGGGATTCGTCTTTATAGTATAGGGCATAGGCGTTCGGGTTTGAGCTAGACGACATTAGGGCTTCAGGTCACAGTACCGGAGACGTTACGTCCTTCAGCCGAATGGACTGCGTTGCTGCTCAACTGGGGGCACAGGACTACTCAGGATCTTGAGCCGCAAAAATCGAAAAAAAACCCACCGTGAAGCCCTACAGCCTGACCTGACCTGCCATGCTTTCGAAGCAGGGTCCTCAAAACCCCCCCACCTCGAGTCCTCAAGGCTAAGCCCCGAAGAATTCAACTCCTAGGGCCTGTAAGGAACGGGCCTTACACGGTTTGAGGTTTTGAAAGTCAGGTTTTACAGGCTGGATGGTAAGACCAGAAACACTAAGAAGTGGAAGGCTCAACGATGTTGGCATCTATACACACTCCGCCCCAGGGATTGCAAATCTTGCTTCCGAAGCCCGAGGTGTCGCACACGCATCCAAAACAGGAATTCTGCACATCCGAAGCTTCCGACCCCCGAAAACCGCCACAACTCCATACGACCGGAGCCGTCTTGGTCTCCTCACCCGATTGCAACAACCGAAGCCGAAATAGGAGAACTAGCTCCTGCCAAGCCCCACATACCAAGTGAGGCAACCTCACCAGAGCCTAGCTGCCCCAGTTAATGGAAGTGCTACTAACACCTAAGTCCTGAGCACCATGGCATCTCGCAACTCACTGGATCGGTATGATCAGCACTCCTTTGCGACCGCGAAGACATGTGGTTGAACTACGCCAGGCCCCCTACGCAAGTGTTGGGATCAGCCGCAACTCATGCATCATTTTTCGAGGCGCCTAGGACAACAATCTACCCTTAACCCTTCACCCCTACACGATAAATCACAGATGCCCGGCCATTATTACATAAAGTAGAGTAGCCCTCTTCGAAGGAAGGTCCTAAAGCGCTTGACAGCCGGCCTCTGCTGCGGCAGCTTTAGTTGCAGCTGCGGTGACAGCAGCCGCCGCATACCCTCCTTCGACGAGCGACCGAGCGCAAAACTGCAAGTAAATCTGAAGGGGCCGGCCAACAACAAGTTGGTGCGAGTATCTAGAATCATGGTAGGAATAGAAACACTATTGTATTAGTGTTGTAAAGTGTAGCAGTCAGTGTTGGACAAGGTGCTGGTTCTAGTAACTCTAGTAGTCGTGGTTGTAGTGGTTCCTCACGGTCATCACCGAAGTTTATCTACTCATGCTGACTATCACGCTGCTAGCTACGTCTGCTTCGGAAACACATTGGCAACAAATAGGCTTTCCATGTTTTCCAAGACCACTAGAATACAAGACATCCCTGCCGACTTTTCGAGATGTTAGAACCGAACTAAGAACGCGGCACCCACCTAACATCTAAGATCGACCTGTCGAAAGCATAGAACCGAACACCATATACCAACCTGACATTTGATCAGCCATGCCTTTGTGAGTAAAGGGTCGTTACTGGGCTGACGGGTTTAGTTTTGCTTGGGCTTCTTCCGCATCACTCGAAAAGTATGCCAAAGCCTAAGGCCCTTTGGTAACGTGTAACATAGGGGCCTTAATAATTAGAATTGGGATCGGGGTATATCATACTACAACAATAAAAGATAGTATTGGTCGTTATTTAGGCCCCTACGTTACACCCAGGAACCTCTTCCATGGCCCGGGTCGTATATGCCCCCTACCGACTCGCGAAGCTGCTGACCATAAACCCTTCTGCAGCTGGGCTCTGAGGGTTTAGGGGTTTAGGGTTGACCTTAAACCCTAAACCTCTCAAAGGTACGGTTCCAGGACAGCAAAAACCCTGAACCCTTTTGCATCCAGGCCTATTGCGATTGCCGGGTACCGCTTTCTAAGCAGGGGCTTGGAGTGTGCTGGGTACCCCTAAACCCTCTCTCTCTCCTCTCCAAGGCACTCAGTCGCTGTCAGGCCCCTCCAGCTTCCTTCCCACAGGACTACCACTCTGCACATATAGCCAGCATTGGAAAACCCCTAAACCCTAAACCCCAAACCCTCAACCCTGAAACCTCGAGCTGAAGCCTGAAGGTTGCTAGTCAGCATGAGCTCTGAAGCTGAAAGCAAACATAGGCGGGCGTTCCAGCACAAACATACATGTAGGGTTCGGGACTCAGGGTTTAAGGATTTCGGGGTTTGGAGTTTAGGGTTCTGTGTGTACTTGCTAGACAATACACAAAGTGGTGTATACATTGTTGCATAGATGTGTATAAACATACCTATTGTATAGAGTCCCAATGCCTCCCTCCCGAAACCACCAGAACCCAAGCTCAGATGATCACAGAAATGTCCTGTGGCCATTGGCTCTTCAATTCCCATGGCAGGGTCTATGTACACAAGGAAAAATCAGCTACAGCAGAAACTTCCAATCCAGCCGAAGGGCAGCTTGTGCGCGGCATTCCGGTCACTGTTTCCGCTCATGGTTTGCACTCGTGCCCGGACACTCGAGGATGTTCAGGGAGCAGAGCTAGAGTTTGGCTTGGATTTGGGGATTCCGAAACTTTGTCTTTTTATGATAGAGCTGCAGATATTTGGCCAGCAGCTATTGAAATTCACAATTCTCTGCAAGTTTTCGGGACGGCCAGGCAGTAGTAAAGAAGCATGTGCCGCCTCGAAATGCGTAGGTTTGACTAAGCATGAGCATGTTCGTAGTTGTCGCCACTGCGCTTCCACCATCATCACCATTGCTACGGGCTGTTGCTGTGGAAGTAAAAGAGACTGCGTCGCTTAATCGGTCGGGATGGGGCGGAGGGGGCTGTGAAAGGGTTCTCCAGGCTGAAGTCAAGTCTGCTTCGACCTCCACGGCTCCGGGTGCTTAAGGTGTAGGGTCTGGGGTTTAGGGTTAATTAGGGTCTACGCAATGAAGGCTCTGGAGCTATACTCAACTTCGTGCGCAGCTGTTGGTGGGGATGCTCGTCCGCGCGTTGCAGCAGGCACTCGAGTCGTGAATAGAATCGGGAGGGCAGAAGCCAGAGCAACCAAACAGCACACATGTACCCATGTATACATACATACATGCATACATACATACACACATACATACAACCATGTGCACACACGCACACACACACATGCACACACAAACAAACCTACATGGGACAACAGAAGAAAAAGCCAGGGCCTCTCTCCATCTATGTGTTGCTACACATGACCCCCACTTGGAAGCTGTGAAAGCGAACAACAGTATGCAGCTCTCTGTGTGTGTGTTGACGCCCACACACCAAACGCAGATATCGCATGCGGTCAGAAAATAATGCGCCTACGTCTACATCATCAAAGCAGCGCCATGCAACCGCATGCACATTATATGCACAATGCACAGCATCACGAATGCAAAAGGTACACAAACCTGCATCAGAAGACACATGCGTGCATGCATGCATCTGTAACTATGAAAATGATTTGGCCCGCGGGTAGAAGCCTCCTCAGCGCAGGGTGCGGCTTGCAAGGGCAAGCCGCAAACTCCTGCGATATCGACTGCTTCGTGGTATTTATTGGATACCGAAGCTCTCTTGAACTGCGAGAAAGCCCACACTCGTACTCGAGCCACAAGCCCCAGTTGTCCTCGAGGCAGATGCCCTGAGCCTACACTCTAAACCCCATACCCTCCTTTTCCCGGACTTGGGGAAGATGACGGCGACGGCGAGGCCGAAACATTGGCCTCTAAGCAACCGGTTGAGGTTTCGAACACATCTAGAGCCTATTTTTCACACAACTCGGACTGGCTAGGCGAGGTCTCTTGATAACTACTATACTGAGGTTGCTGAAACTAACTGAACTATGCAAAAAGGATGAATTTAACCACATCGTAGACTACCCACGAACCGGGCATGAAATCGAGTGTTACGGGTTGAAGTCGGTGAAAGGTTTGAGGCTTGTGGTTTGGGACTTGCCGGGTTCAAGGTTTCAGATTTGAGACTGCTGCCATATGTTTCACTAGGTCAAACATCCACTGCCTGGGGATCAAGTCGGGGTCTTCGCATCTAGGACTTCGAGTCTGGTTCCGGTCTAGGTGTGGGCCGTTCGGTCTTGCCTCCTGCTGGCTAGCCTCAGTGCTTATCGCCACTCCTGGAAAGGGTAAGTGCGGCTATAATGGGGTCCCGCATTTTTCTGCAACTCAGGCTGAAGATGCTGAACAGCCTCCTGACCCCTCCGGCACTCCACACAGCTGGCCTTTGCCTGGGCAGTCGGAGCATCTGCGGCGCTGCCGGTGCTGGCCGGCGCCACTGACCTCGAGAATGCATAAAGAAGTCGTGCAGAGAAAATTGGTGAAGAACTGGTCGCAAGTCAGTGCTACTCATCAGCATCATCCTGACCATGGTCATAGCCCGCCTCAGTCATAAACAACATAGTTGTCAGCCTCATCCATGGGATATGCGTCGCCCGCTTCTTTATCAAGATCCTCATCGCATTATCATCGTCCGTAATCTCGTCATCGTATCATCGTGGTCATCTGAATGATGATGAAAACCTAGCCTTGGCAGGGCTACAAGGTTCATGCTCCTGTGTGCCACGCAGCTGCACTAAGGGTGCCTGTGGCCGTATGGTAAATACTGTGGCCTTGAAGTACCGATAGCTGTAAGAATCCTTAAAGACACCAGTATTTATTGTATATCATATTTTCATGATACTGGATAACTGACCATATAGAACCATAGTCATAGAGGTTCATGGACCCTGAGAGATACATCAGTGTCGTCAGGGGTAATCGTCAAGTTTGGCATGAGCAGCGGTCACTGCGATTCGCAAACCCTGACAGTAGGGAACCCTAAACCCGTAAATCCCCAAACCCCTAAACCATGCTCTTGAATGCATGGTTCAGAGGTCAAGGGCCGAAGCTGGCTTGCAAACTTCGGGCCATGGATTGATGACGAGTGGTGCTAGGAAAACCTATATACATGCTTGGGACCTGGCCATCTTATATCCGTATGGGCTTACATACCTTCTGGTTGACGCTTCCTGAGCTTTGAGTGAGAGTGAAACCGCTGCAGAATATTTTTGCATCGCACATCCTGCGCTCCTCAACACTGTACACGCCTCTTGAAATGGCAGCGATCAGGATGTGTCACGTGAGCCCGAGGAACTGGAGGACATTCATACTAATATTAGTATTAGTATTAATACTAACATTAGTATAACTAGTAGGACATTCTTGAGGTACGTGGCATGAGTAGGGAAGGCTCAAGATTTCCAACCGGTGCGGGAGTTTCCCTTATTTTGGGGTCCCTATAAAAAGGATCCGACTGATTAATTAGGGTACTATATTAGGGTCCCCTGTTTTAGGAAAGTCCCGTATTCGTGACGACCGGGTCCTCCCGATTCTGCGTTGGCACATGGCTTATCGAAGCATCCGTATGGCCGGGATCCATACTGGACACGCCAAGTGCAAAAGTAGAATAGAAGTGGAAGTGACGCCGACACTGGCCTAGTCAAGTTGTGAAAACGAAAACTGTTTACAACAAAGGTGCTAAAAGGTGCCATTCCCCAGACAGCTATACATAGGAGCTTCAGGATGTAAGGGATTGTAATATCGAACCCTGATCTTCAAACATCTAAACAGAAGTATCCTTGGTACAAGCACCCCTAAACAAAGTAAACTCACAGTTTAAGAAACTCGCGTGGAATCAACAAGCTCTGTTAAATGCCATCTAAAAATTCGACTGCCTGCAGGCGTCTCTTACCCGCAACCCTCGAAGGTAGCAGTCTCCGCTCGTCTCCGCAAAGTCCCAGGTTCTACTCCCGTAAGCTTGGTGGTCCTGAGCTGTAAAAGCACACGTTTTCAAATCACTTCATGCGTGTCATGGGCAGACGACTCAACGATCTCTGTAACTATCACAACGTTTGCGACTTTCTCACCCTCGCTATCTTTGATAATGCAGAGCTGGCAGATTTATCTGGCCGAAAAAATACATAAGAAGTATGTATATAGAACCGAAATTTTATGTTATATTACGCACATAAAACACCATGTTATAATAGTTTACATGATATTATACAACATAACACGATTGACCCCGGACCAAACCTCAAGAATGAATCGGACCTCACCTTCACGTTGGGTTCGAGGGAGACTGCGGTCCTTGCTGCCCCTTGATCTGCAAGGACATGCGCGGCTGAGTTCTTCGGGGCACTGTACAAACGGTGTCGCTGTTTCAAGTTCGAAATCATGAGCCTCAGCGGACTTACTACCGAACTTCGAAGGGTATCTGCGAGTCATGTGTCATCTACAAGCAGCCGCCGGCAGCTAGACGCAGCTACCGTAAACAACGACACCGTTGCCCTGTGACATCTCTGGCAATCCGAGGGAGCCACGCAGACCAGTCTTAAACCTCATTCAGAGGAATGGACAAAATTCATCCAGCATTGGCACATGGGACTGCTCCAAACGCAGCTTCCCTTTCGTAAAGTGAACAGATTTAGATTTGTAAACAGGACAGACGACGGGACCTCATGTTGGAACAACATCCATGTGCCTGTGCCTATCCAAAACAGCAAGAGTAGAGCTAGTGGCTCATGCGTGCCAATCTAACAGTCCGCACGTCAAGGCTTCTGAGCGGTCCTTGAAAAAGGAACTTAATATAAGTCACCACGACAGGGCTGTACATTATTGTGTAGCAAAGGCTAAGGTCAAGCTTTGCTTGCCATGGTAATGCAATCATTTAAGAAGAACGCAGCTTGTTTATTACGTGGTTTACACGACTTCGATTGTGCATCCTTTCCTTACCCCTGCCCTGAAGAAACAAAAAAACTCTCCTGCTCGATGTCTTACTTCTAGATTGAAGGATGAACCTTTCGGACAGCCATAACACTGCTCATCCGGTAGCGCTGCGATCTTTAAGAGATCCTGTCTTACTTTGGTTGAATGTCCTAGGAACCTCCTTCAGTGTCGAAATATCGGGGAGCCGGCACCTGCCCCTATTCCACCCTTGCGTAGTCGGAGGCTCGTGCAGCTAAAGCCGGCCGAGCGAAGAACTGCAGTGAGATGTCAACGACCTCAACGATCTCACATCCCTCGAAGGGCTCCGCTGGCTACAGCCTTCCACGCGCAAGCCGCGCACGCACGTTAACCCAAATGGATACTTGACCAGTCATGTCAATTCATGTCGCGGAAGAAGATTGAAAATGATGTTTCAAGACCTTCCAGCCAGAAGCCACTATGTTTCCGAAGCCCCGTCCTTGTCCCCGGAATGAGAGAACCATGACTCAAGTTGTGTGACGAGGAAGTCGCACAACAAACAACCGAGCATCTAAGACAAGCTCCACAGGTCTGAGGTTTACGTTGTACGGCTTTAGAGTCCACAATGTCGAAACATAAAACCCTCCTTTTCAGTGAGATGCTGAAACCAGACTCTCCTGAAGCGGTTCAAGCCCCCTTGAAGCTTAAGCACAACAGGATGAAATACGTGCCATGCACTGATGAAAATCGGACCAACATTAAGGTCTCAGTTTCCTTCGCTTCCCCAAGCCCTGCGCAAGTCTTGACCACCTCAAAACGGCTAGCAATGACCATGACTGTATGTATATATACATATATATATATATATATATATATATATATATATATATATATATTTGCCAATTATTCAGACCCCTGTTTCAGTTTTGTGGAAGTGCTGGGGCCAACAGATCCCACGAAACAGAGCTGTGGTTGTCCTCGCAGCGGAACTGGATCTCAAGAGGACCAGAGCTCAAGTGAGCCCTCGACACCATTCTGGCGGTGGGGCAGCGTTTCATTTACGGAAATAAGCCTCCATCGGAACTGCTTGATATTAAAGCCCACAAAGGAAAGTCAAAAAAACATAAGATTGGCTGGGCGGTCTCTTGCTTCGGTTTAGGGTTTAGGGGTTCTGTGGTGGCTTCGAGCGTTGGGTTTCAGGTGTTTTTCATGTTGGTGAGCTGGATCTGGGAGATCGGGTGGCTTTCGGCTGGGAGATCTTTAGGTCCTAGATCGCAAGGACGAATCTGTATTGCAGGGTGGTTTGAGTAAGCTCTTTAACCCCCATGAGCTTTAGCAAACCCATTTCTTGCATCCCGGAAAGGTGCAACAAGCCCTTGAACCTAGTGTTTTGCAGTTCATCTTAAGCCTTACCTTAAACTACCATAACCTACTGTTTGTAGGTTCTTATTATAAACCCTAATATGGGTGTTGTAGGGACCCTACAAAAAAGTAGGTTTTGGTAGGTCAAGGTAATATTTATGAACCCTCATGGGCTTTAGTAGACTCGGAGGCATCAGATCACTGGTCACGAGACCAAGAGTGCGACAGCTCGGCTGACCTTGGTTCGGGTTTAGGGTTGAAGGTCTGGTTTCGGTCTTTTAGTTGTTTTATGGAGGGGTTCGGGTCTAGGGTCTGTGGGGTTTCGGGCCTTTAGCATATGCGGCTCAGGGGGCCTCGGGAGGGTTGGCTGCCGGAGGGTTGGCTTCCAATCACATAAAAACTGTAACGGTAGCAGCACGATCGGAAACCTAATCTCTCGACACAGCATGGCCTGACCTGGAGTCCGTATCCCGTTATCGCAAATCCGGCGGTCAAAACTCAGTTCCCAAGCCCAGCCCCGTGTCTCTGCTGACATGCAGCCGCACTTCAGCAGCCTTTCCTCTGTCCTGCCGGCAATGGGCAGTTGGTTCAATTCCGGAGCCGTCAGTCACCTGCCTGACATGCCTCTCCGCAGCTGAGTCCTCCTTGCGTCCCGTCCGTTACTCAACAGTCTGGCTCATGTTCCTCCGCTCTCCGGCTGAGCTGAATCGTCTGCGCGTCCTTCGTTGTGAGAAGGGCTCGAGGTTGTGTGATCCAAACATCTCGGTACCATGCTTGTACGTGGTTTACGTTTGGTTCTCCGTGAGATATAACTGACAACTATCGAGAGCCCGAGGAATCCGACGTTCCTCAACACGCAGAAGCCATGCACCCAAACGAAGCTGCTGCTCGTAATAGCGGGGCTGCTCTCAAGATGTTGGAACCGCATCAGCCAAGAGACAGGAAACTTGGCTGATCGCGCTTGTCTTGAGGCATCTGTGGCACCATCCGATCGAGTGACACGCCTGCCAAGAGTCGTTAGTGCAGTTGCAGTCTGAGTTGTGTATGTCACAACGTCCAACCAAGGACACTGACTTGTTGGAGCTTTTGCGGAAGCCACGCTAGCGAAGATTAATGCCAGTCCCGATTTAATTTTGGCGCCGCAACAACACCCAAGAGAGGCCAAGAACCCTTTGGCGGGGTGGTGGCGAATGTGCCCACGTGGGATCATTGCCAAAACCATGACCCTTATCGGCATACAGGTGTACATGATTGAAGTAGATCCTATCACATGACAATCAAAGACTCCAGGCACGACCACTTGCAATGATCTTACCCGATTATGCTGACCAATTTCTGTACGCAGCACCACTCATACATGCACAGTGGTGTAGAAGCACAAGAACACTTCACCAAGGATAGCTTAAGACAAGGTCCGATCCCAGCGGCTCGATTCATCTTGTAAACCCGTCTTGGCCTTGAAGAAGGACTGATAACCAATAAACAAGATCATTTCAAATTTACTGTAAGCAACAACAGCAACAAATGTAAACCCAGTTGTTCGTCCCACAGCCCAGAATTTAAGCTTTCTACACCATCCTGTGTTCTGTCGCTCCTGTAGGGAACTTATATACCGAGTGAGCAAACAGACTAACAGCAACATGAAAGCACCATCTGACGCGATGTAGCTTGGATAATGGCGGTTCGTAATGTGCCGCGAACAGCCTTGGAAGACGTGCAAGAAGAGCGAAGCATACGGAGAAGCGCCGACCACATGGCTGGCCAAGGATCCCTGCCTGCGGAGGAGGCTCGGGGGCGCAACGGCCTGCCGAAAATTGGAGATGTCCAGTCCTTTTGGCGAATTAGCGCCCCTTTATGGGCTGAATTGCGCACGAACCAGTAAGGATTCCACTCGGAACTTTGGAGAGGCTAGCATACTGTCTGAGAAAGCATGCCGCCCGGAAAACTCCAGTGCCATTTCCAGACAGCTTCTTCGACATAACTCATAGCTAAGCGTTGCGGCTTATGTTTTTTGGTGCCTAGCCGGGCCTGGCCCTTTTGCAGCGGGCTTGCTTCGTCGCCCGGAGGCTCCCTCTCCGGCCCTAAACCTCGAACCCCCCATATGTTGTGAAGACCTTTCTGGGTAGCTTCTATGGTAGCTTCTGGCATTCGGGCTCATATGATGCGTGAAGTTGGCGGTCAAGAATTGATCTCTTCAGCAGCTTCGTGGCCTCTACTCGAGTCTTTTCCATCTACAGCGGGATGACTGAGATTTAGCAAATCGAACCGAAGTTAAGGGCAACCTTCCCATGCAAAGGTCTTAGAGTCTATAGGGTTGGAGTGTAATAGAAAAAGCTGATTTCGCAACACGAGACAGCAACAAATTTACAAAAAATGGGCAGGCTCCCAACTACAACATATTTATGAATTGCGGCCCTTTTCTCGCCAGATCGATACTTACATGCTTGTAGTCGTTATTTCACAGGAGCGGCCCTGCTGAGATGTTAGGATATGTCAAGGCCACCTGTTAATTTGTCCCCAGATCCCAATATCCCCTAATTAACGAATATACCTTAACAATAGTAGGGTCCCTACTATAATTTAAGGTATATCCCTCGATTAAGGGATATTGGAGTCTCCGGGCACTAAACTCTTTACGCCACTGTACAACCCTTAACTGAACCCTTAAGCGCTCCATTGTGGGCTCGAAACAAATCCCCTAATGACTCTCCTGTGCAAACCAGAAACCCTATCAAGTGCTGCTTCGAGCCTTCGTTTCAACCTGCCCCCCCCTCTCCGGCGGCCCTCCCCTCCTGCCTTTTTGCAACTGGGCTTGGGGACTAGCCAGATCCTTGCATCACGGCCTTCCGTGTTCAGCCGAAACCCTAAACCCATGAACCCTAAACCCTGCACCCCGACGCCTCAGCGCTGAATCTGCAGAGACAGAGGCAGATGGCTCTTCAAGGGAATCCAAGCCTGCGCCAGCGCTTGCTTCTGGGGACTCCCAGAGACTCCAATACCCCTTACTTAAGGAATATACCGTAAATCATATCAGGGATCCTACTATAACTTAAGGTATGTTAGGTATTTTCCTTAGAATTGGGGAATATCCCTTCAGTTATAGTAGGATCCCTGATATGATTTAATCTATATTCCTTAAGTGAGGGATATTGGAGTTTCTGGGGAAGCCCTAAACCCTAAACCGGTTAAGGGAGCCTGCAGCCTGAGTCTTCTAACAACGGTTCCGTCTGCTTAAGTTTTATGTTCAGGGCTTTCATACGGTTTAGGATATGATTTTGCGAAGTTGTATATAAGGGTCTTGGCTACTGTGCAGGTTGCTGGGAATTGCGGTGTGCTTGTTTGGGAATAGGGGCTTAGTGCCTGGGGAGCTTGGGGTTGAAAAACACATGCTGGGAGTTGATCAGTGGTTCCGAGATTCGGGGTATGGTATGTTTTGGTGTTGAGCAAGAGTCCGCTTAGTGTCAATGACGGCAGAAAACATCTGGTGGCTGCGCAGAAAGACTTGTGGTAGACAGGAGAGATCTTTGTGCCAAAGGCAAAATAAACATCTCTCAACAACATGGAAAAAAGCATGAGCCGCTCGGCCAAAACGTCTCGAAGGGCGCAGCGCATATGCCGACAACTGATTACTACGACTGATACTAATTTGGATGTTTGACCACAACAAATACGAGAAACATGAACATGAGCATGCCAAAGTCGAACACGGCAGTTCGAACAAGATATGCTGTCTACCCTGCTACAAAAAACCTGACAAAGAAGCTCCCATTGCAGAATTGAACTTAAAGGCCCAGGGAACTTAGTAAGTAGGTTATACAAGGAGACTTAGAAGCACCCTAAATGGAGATACCCCAATTATAACCCTACTAAAAACCGACTACCTAAGTCCCCTGGGCCTCCAGCTAGAGGTTTCATTTGAAAGCATCAACGAGAACAACCCACCTCGCAGCGAGAACTCGAAATCCAATTTCGGGTGGCCGCAGGAATTCTCATCGCCGCACGCCTCGGGACTGCAGGTTGCAGAGCACGGAGATTCTTCAAACACAAGGTGCGCAAAGAAGTGGATTTCACGGTTATCTCTCTACCGTCCGAATGTTGTCTGCTGAAGGCCCCCATGCTCTGCAGCGCTCGGCAAGTTCGGGTCAGCAATCGGCCGAAAGCAACTACTGTCATTCTTCTGCTACATCCGCCGAGTTTCAACAAATCTACAACCGTTATGTCTGAACCCTGAATTCCAACCCTAGACCCTCTACTTTAAACTCTATTATGTATATCTATATCTATATATATATATATATACATACATATATATATATACACATACATATATATATATACACACACACATATATATATATATATATATATATATTCATTCTTACATATACTCATAAATCTAAAACCCAAAAAACCCTCCGGGCTTCGAGACCCGAGCCTGCGGACTCAGGATCGACGGGCTGCACGGACTGTTTTCATCCCCTGACTTGGATTTTAGACTCCAAGGGCTTACCTGTAGCCGAAAAGACCTACCTTTTTAGGGTTCCTTATTACGGTTTTTTTATAGCTCCTTAAAAAGGTAGGTCTTTTCGGCTACAGGTAGGGTCTTGGGTTTCCCTGACTTGGATTTCAGACTTCAAGGGCTACTCATGTAGGGGCCTTAGTAATTAGAATAGGTTCTCTGGGGGCGCCTTATTATGATGATTAGACTTATAGGATAAGATACGCCCCAAATCCTATTCAAATTATTTAGGCCCCTACCCTTTGCGGGTCGCGGTTTTCAGGGCTTCGGTTTCGGGTTTCAGGGCTCTTCGAAGTGCTCCAACTTGGGGTTCTGCTCGAAAGGCTTCAAGTCTAACTATACTGTTTCCATGCACGTATATGTATGCATGCACCAAAAATGTCCCCACAAACACACACACACACACACTCACACACATATTCTTCTATGACAAGTCATACGACGTTGAGGGGTTGCCTCAACTTGAGATCCAACTTACAGGTGCACGAAGAATCCCCTCCACAGGGGGTCCTCATTGCCAAACCTGATGCATGCTCGAGCTTTGCTCAGGTTTGTCTTTGTCAGGACTCTTATCAGGTTTAGTGCAAAGCGCTTGTCTGTCATTTTTATTTACATGCGTTGAGGTCTGCGCTGAGCCCTAAGTTCCTAAACCCTTTCGCATCCAAGCCTCCTGAGGGTTTTGCGGGGTATCGGACCCTAAAGCCTAAAACCCTTACCCCAAATCCTTTCGACCTACAACTCTGAACCCAAATCCTTTGAATCGTAGGTTCTGACCCGTTACTTACGGGGGACTCAGTATTCAAGCCACAGGCAGGCATTATATCGCAGAGTGAATGCTTCCTGCACTTGTAGCCGGGGTAGGCGAGTCCTGAGCCCTGAGCCAGACGTCTTGAAATCAGGCACGGGTTTCGGGACAAGGGGATTGAATGCTTAGGGCTCGGGGCTGAAATGTCCATCCTACCGAGCCTCCACTGCCTTCATCCGTTTCTGCAGTGTCCTGGCAGGGCAGATCAACCAGCCACAACGCCCGGAAAAAACGAATCCCTGCATGTGGGGTACTTGTTGTCAGTTTATACACATGTTACGGGTATATGTATGTGCATGCATATATATGTAGATATGTGTGTGTGGGCATATATACGCAAAACCTGTATAGGCATGTGTGTAAACTTTATGTGTAAACATTTGTACAAACATTTATGCAGATGGATGCCTCTATATATATATATATATATATATATATATACATATAATTATATATATATATACGAATCTATGTATGTATGCCCGAATGTCTGCATGCATCTATGACCTAATGTATGCAAGTAGGTACGAAAGTACGTGCGCATGTATGTGTGTACGTGTTTGCAGCAAAGGTGTGCATACACATATGTATAAGTACACATATAGATACAATCGTGTTCGCACATATATATATATATATATATATTTTCTGATGTAATGTTACAGTATTTGTTCTGTGCGTGTATGTTGGTGCTGGTACGCGTATGACCATATAATTACCCATTCATATATGCAACGATCTGTAACTGTATACGCATATATGCACCTATATGTGTATATGCATGCATGTATGTATGTATGTATGTATGTGTCTCTGTGTGTGTGTATGTGCATTCGTACTTGTACAAATGTGTGCAAAGACACCTACATGTAGAGCACTAGCGATCCAACAAGCATGAATCCAACAACAAGATCAACCCTTACGGGCTTAGCATTAGCATTCGGGTTGTCCATTTAGGGCTTAGGGAGGGCTTAGGGTTTGGTGTGGGGGAGGGTTGAGAATTTCGAGTTGAGGGTTCTTGCTTTGATCTGGCAGTTGGGGGTTTGTCGTCGAAGGAATCTTGCCCACGTATGGGGCTGGGATTCAGGGCCCGGCGCGAAGAGCCTGGGCTGCCAAATCTTCAGGAGCCGTCGCTTTGTCCGTGTCCATCCTCAGTGTCTCTCCCCGGGTTGTAATTTACGCAGCCTGGAAGTTATGTATGAATAAGCACCGGTGTTCAACCATAGGGGACATATAATATACCCACAATCCAAGAAGTCATAAACCCTAAAACCACTAACCAAACAGTTTGTTTAAGAGCGGGGACTGCTGGCTGGCCCCGAAATCCAAAACCCTGCCACCCTGAAGAAACAAACCCCAATACCCTGAAGACCTCAAAACCCCCAACTAAACATCCCCAACCCCTAAACCATCCTAGAACCCTGTAAGCCCTGAACTGCTTTGCCGAGATGCCTAAAACCCATAAAACCGCTGAAACCCTAAACCCAAATCACAAAACATTGCAAGCCCCGCCGAGATGCCAAGTAAACGCCGAGAGTTGGAAAGGCTCCAACAGCTCCTCTGCCTGGCTCTCGGAGGACTTCTTTCGAGGATCGGAACTTCCTAGTATTATGAAAAAGAACTATGATTAGTGGGACTATTATCAATATTGTTGATAATACTTATATTCATCGTATTGCTATACTGTCCTTTCTGTACTACTAATAGTACTACTATGAGTCTCAATACCACGATTACTACGATGACTTTCTATGTTGGCACTATGCCTGCTACTACTACTACTACTACTACTACTACTACTACTACTACGATGATGATGATCATCCTTATCGCTACTGCTTGCTTTGTTTATGCTTGTATATGTTTTACAAATTAATCTTTGGAAACTTTGTACACTAAGTCACGAGGATCTCCAGGAAAGCCTCCGATTCTTACCGGGCGTTTCCGCGGCTCGAGTCGAGGCGGGTGTAGATTCGCGAGGCGGACGCCAGCCAAGGAAAGGCCCCAGACTAGACAAAAAAGACGTCCAACGACGATCGGAGCAAACAAAACGAATACTAGCGACAACCACGGGAATCGTCAACCCCTCCCAGCCCAGGCCAATCTTTCAAACGAGGGGACTCCGGGACTCGGTTCCCTTTCATACCAGGGGTAGGGTGGCTGATAGAGCTCAGGGGTTCTTGAGTCGGAACCCCTTCGCTAGGGCGGTCCGGCATGAAACAGAAAACAGCTCTTCAAATTCAGACTATTTGGGGTGCTCTATTTGGGCGAGCCTTAGTTGGCCCGCTGGTCCCGGGGTCTTTCCAGAGAGGAGGATCCGATCCGTACTAGACTCTGAACTGTAGGATCCTGGACAGGTACAACTACGGAGCCCTACTTTTTTTTGAGCACGGACTTGGAGTGTATGCCGGCAGCGAAGCTCTAGGCCAGAAGGCACAAAAACATAAACGAATTACGGTCCTATCTGACGAAGATGCACATGACAGGTTTGACCGGCCCTTTGTTTGCCTTGCTGCTGATTACATTTAAACCTAAGCCCCAGATGCCCAAGGCCATGTAAATCCTCAACGTCAAGCCGTCTCTTTTACCATACCCGTCACCACCCGAATCCCCATGGAATAGGGTCCCAAACTACAAGCACAAGAGCCGTCAGCGGACTAAAACCACCAGGCTTGACAAACTAAAGCCTGCAAGTCCTTCTTCTATCCTACAGTACTACAGTACTACAGTACTTCATTACTACAGTACTACGGTATTACTACTACTACTACTACTACTGCTGCTGCTACTACTGCTGCTACCACCACCACTACTACTACCACCACTACGACTACTACGACTACTACTGCTGAGAGCTGTGTTCGCCGAGCCTCTGTCCGAATCCAACACTACGTCCCGAGCCCACCCCATTCCCGCTCAACCTCAACCATAGAAACACCCGCTGAAACAACTCTACCCAACGTGTACAAGAAGCTCACAACAAAGTCGGGAGTTTCCGAAAATGACTACAAAGGCCTTAAACAAGGCACCCCCTAATTTTCGGAAACTCCTACCCAGAGGCTCCTGAGTAGTTCCTTTTTAGGGTTAATATTCAGAATCCTATAAGGTAACCCCAAAAAGGAACTACTTTGGAGCCTCTTGGGTAAGAGTAAGAGTTTCCGAAAATTGGTGGGGTACCTTATTTAAGGTCCTTACAGTAAGGATCCTACCATTTAAGCTGCTTTACTGGGGTCCCCCCATTTGCGGAAACTCCCTTAGTAGCAAAGATGCATTGCGAGCCGAGCCTGAGCCTCCTCCTCCCAGCGCTGGCGAAGCTCTGAAGCCTGGGTCGAAGCCAGCACCGAAATCATGGGGACCCTTAAGGGGCTAGGGGGGATGGTTTAGGGTTTTTGTCCCTCCTACTTGGCAAGAGTGTTTCGGGTTTAGGGAGGAACCCTTAGGGGGTGGGGACCTTCATAATTAGAATAGGGTTTCCTTTAAAGGGGGTCTAGAAGGGTTTTTTTATGAGGGTGCCACAATATGTCATGGGGACCCTTAGGGGGGTAGGGGGGGGGGTCGGGGGCCTTAATGCCCATAATAAGGACCTAAGAAGGCCTAACTACGTTCCTGAGTAGACCCTTCATAATAAGGGTACCCTTTGTCCTACTATTCGGATTTAATATTGGAACCCCACACCAACAAGGGAAAAAGCGTACTACTCAGGACCCTAGGAAATGCAAGAAACTCCCGCAATCATTGTGATCGCCGTGCTCGTCGTATTTCTGGTCATAGTCGTAGTGAGAGTAGTGGGAGTTGTAGTAGTAGTAGTAGTAGTCGTCGTCGTCGTCGAAGTCGTAGTCGTAGTACTAGTAGTAGTACTAGTACTGTGGTACTGTAGTACTGTAGTATTGTAGCAAGTAGTCGTCGTCGTAGTAGCATTTGGAAGGGTTTCTCGCCTGGGTCTCGCATCTTTATTGAATTTGGCATGCGCGATAGTTGCAGTTTGAGGGGTTTCTTTCGGGTTGGGTGTTGCACTTGCTTCGCCTTTTTTCAAATCACAACAATGTTGCGAGCAGGACTCACCCTGTACCCGCCAATTCGTGAAACACCGCAGAACACGAAAAAGCAACAAGCTCCACAGCTCCACATCTGTGTTCCACAAATAGCTTCGCGGCCGGAGGACAAAGGGAACTTACTTGGACTTGGACTCTCCAGGATGGCGCTGGTGTAGGGTTTCACTGCCGGATGTTGTATCTGTGTGTCTAGCTCGCCATGTATTCTATCTGCGCTGTGCCACAACGAATCAAAACAATTGGAAAAACAACCCCAAGAGCAAAGCACGGGTTTAACGAGACTCCGGCGCTTGCGCGGCAAGGCTGAGTGGTTGGAGCCTCCATCGAACGAGACTCCGGGTCTTTCGCGATGTGAGGTTTGGGGTGCGACTGAGTCTACAGATAGTCTCTATAAGTTCCTTCTTTGTTGCCTGGTAAGGTGAGTCCTAGATAGGCTTGGTCGATCCGGCAAAACGGAACTACGATTCAGAGTTGCGAATTACCTCTGTCTGAGACCTTGAATCAAACTCGGACAAACCATCGCTTGCAGCTTCTGATCTCATGGGCCCAAAATCTCAGGCTGAACGCACCGAAGCCCTGAAACCCCACCCTCAAGATTCGGCTCATGTGAAGGTTCCTGCTATTGAACGCATCTTCGCCGTGAGCATTAGCACAGTAATTTTTACCATGTTGTACTATCATTCTGCAGTGAGCAAGACCATCATCATGATCGCCAGCAGCTGGCATGGCAGTTCTGATGGCCGGTATGATTCACACCTACATCATAATTAGCCAACATTGTCCTTATAGTCTTGTCATTACCATCAACTTCAGGACAATCCTAAACCCCAAACCGTAACCCTTCCTAAACCCTAATCCCATACACCAAGAACGTGCGGCAAACCGGCCCTAGTTTTTCGGCCAAGGCTACGTACGGATTTGGGGGTAGTGCATTGGGACGCCATGAATAAACTAACGAGCAACAACAAACACAAACCAAGTACATGTGGGGTTTGGGGGGTATCACTAACCACATGAGCATAGGAGTGTAAGTAGCCACATAAGGAACATGATAAGGTGGAACTCTCGACCCTTGACCCTAAACCCGAAACCAACAAAATCAAACCGAAACCCTGAACCCTAAAAATTAGACCCGGGACCCTAAAAATTAGACCCTGGACCCTAAACCAAACAAATTAAACAAAAATAAACCCTTTTTAAGCACGGACTTATAAAAAGTTAAAACCTTAACCCTAAACCGCCTCCGGCGAAGGGATCGGCGAGAGGGCCGGTGCCCAGCGGCGACCGCCGAGTCGGATTCGATTCCTCATCACCTCTCAGGCTATAATTTATACTAGTATACAGAATGAAAAGTAGTTTATAATAGAATACAGAAAGAATAGTAGCTTATAATAGCATACAGAATGAACAGTAGTTTATACTAGTATACAGAATGACTAGTAGTTTATAATAGTATACAGAATGAATATAGTAGTATATAATAGTATACAGAATGAATAGTAGTTTATAATAGTATACAGAATGTGTAGTAGCTTATAATAGTATACAGAATGTATAGTGTCTAGCCAGAAATAGTGCATCTTATTGTTCTTAGTAATGTGAGCTCGTGATTATTAAAGGTCCCCTCAAAAGAGCGAAACTCGGCCCGGGACTCCATAATAAAAGGTCCCCTCCATAGAGCGAAACTCGGCCTGCACGTAACAATAACCCCCCCTCAATAGTCCTAAAACCCGTCCCGGTGTTGATTTTTTGAGGTTTAGGTAAGTAAGCACTCCCACTGCACAGTGGCGCTCTGGAAGAGGAGAGACAGAAGCAGGCATGACAGAGGAGACACTGTATTACTGTACTACTAACTGTACTACTACTGAGAGCCCGGCCCCCCCAAACAACTAAAGATGATCAGGGAGGCGGCAACACCAAAACTATTGCGTGGTCTTGGTTGTTCGGGGGGGTTAATAATCAGGAGACTACATTAGTAGTACTAGTGTTGTTGTACATCTTGTGATGCACGAAGCTTCTCGCTTTAAGCTCGTTTGCATTTCGAATGGTTTGATCCAGGCGCCGGAGCGGTTAGAACGGGGGTTTGGTCCGAATGCGATTGATGCAAGAGGCATGCATGTTTGCATTGTTTGCATACTTGACACTAACACATCTAGCAATACTCTGACACTCTTCGTTCAGCGTTCGTGCATGCTCGCGATGGATTTCGTTGTTGAGGCCATCCTTCGCTGTAGCATCAACCTCTGTGCCCTTCACCCAACCCTCAATCCAACACCGCCATACATGTTACAGCTTTTGTTGCTGAAGATTTTGTTGGGAGACGGCGGCCCTACGCCAATGAGAGCGTCTTCCTTCTTTGCAGGGCGGCATAGCCGTGGGGAGTCCAGGGGTTGTGACAGTCAAACGCCTCTTGGCCTAATTTTACCTTTCACCGTGCCATCTCAATTTCGGTGTTTCTGCACGGAAATTGTCTTGAAACTTGAGCTCGCCTCCAGGTTCGCCCCAACGACGACACGGCTGGCACGACGACTGCCACGGCCCGCACTTCTACAGAATGTGCCGACCCCGCGGATCTCTGTAAGTCATTTCTAGGACCTGCCCTGCGCCACCGACCCTGAAGGCCCAACCTGCAAGGAGCTTGTGTCAGCAAGCCGAGACGTCAGAATGCAAACACTCAAATTCTGACATGTCCGGACCCACTTCCGAATGGAATCAGAAGCTGTGCAAGCCCCTAAATCCAAGTGCCTTGAGGATTTCCGTGCGCTTTTGCAGCTCCCTCCAGGCAGGTTGTTGGTCCGGGTCGAACTCAACTTCCGAGATGCACATCCTAAGCTTCGGCCAAAAAAATGGCTTTTGAGGGGTAGGTGTCTGCGGCTTGGGGTTAAGCGTTGCCTTGTAGCGTTGTCGATTTCATGGGATCTAGATGTAAAGACTACTGGAGATGGGCCGGGTACGAGATCTAGGAACAAGAATTGCATGATGCAAATGGGATACCCCGATTCGGAGCTACACCGCAACCACATCCGACAAAGCAAGTCCTAATCAAGATGAGCAGCCCCTGCTGAGCAATATGTTCAGACTGCACAGAGGCCGTTTTACTTGCCTCGCGCAGCCCCAGACGATTTCATGATCTTGACTTTTCGGGCTTCAGATGCCAAAGGTGTTAGAGCACGCTCTTCTCTTTCAGGATTTTAATGCTGCAAGACAGCGCTCAGGGATGGGCCACAAGAGCACTTCACAGCCCGAAGGGTTCAAACGAGGAGAAGGACAACACGAACCCTGCCACGACGATTGCTACCGACGACGAAGAGAACGACGAGGATAATTGTCAGCGGAGCAGCTGCAACAACGCATTGATGTGCTGCAGGCCGGCAAGCTGCTGGCGAGTAGTGTCCAAGTAGAGCCTCACAAGGCCCTAGAAACCCCTCGCACAAGGGTTTAGGGGTTATAGTGTCTAGCGGCTACGGGTTTACGGCGACTGGTGCAAACGACCCTCTCTCGGTCAGCAACCATCCCCGCTCGCCGCCTAATAGCCACAACCGGTGGATGTGATGCCTACGGAAGTTGCAGACAGTGTTGCAAACATGCGGGGCCTATTCCCACAGGCCGCATACTTCAACAACGGCACAATGCAAGGCACAGTCAAAGTCACTACTGGGGCTGCCGTAGCTTCTCAAGATGTAGATGTCTACGGCCTGCGGATAGTATGGGTGTCCTGCGATTGCATGTTGTGGTATGATTCGGGACCGTCCATTGCCGTCTCGAATGTTCAGTGATCACTTGTGCTGTGGTGGATCGGAAGCGGCACGGCAAGACTTCAGGCTTGCAGGGCTTTGCCCTGCCAGCATGCCCTCCCAGCACGAACCCTACGCTTTGAACCGATCCGTCTGGTCGAGCAACTTCAAGCTCGTTTTCAAGCCGACTGCTTCCAGCTGAAGCGTAATCTCCATGGCTCTGTAATACTGTATATCTGTGCGTGTCAAGCGCTGACTGCACACAGGGCGAAAGCCGTCCCGATCATCGAAATAACCTCTATCAAACGAGATGCTGCCTTACATAAAAATGAGAAGTGTCTCGAATGATTGACTAACTGGCAGCATCCATAGCAGCACATGAGCAAATCTGCTCGAACGTATCAATCTCGCTCTTACCATTGCATCTAGTCGTGTTGTTAAGATATTTCTTTTGGCAGCCAGCCGGACGAGTTCCTTCCCGCAGTGCTGAGGCTCAATGGCTGCACCAAGGATGCTCGGAATTCATGTTCAAATCTTCTTCGAGGGTTTGAGCTATATGAGGAAGCTTCAGTGGTTCAGCGATGCGGGATTTATGCAGTCAGGGTCGACAATCGAAGTCTTGGAGGTCAACTTTTGATGTGTTAAAATCCGGATGTCAGGATTCTCTTTCCAGGGCTTGCAGCCTTAATTATGTTCGGGAGCCGTAAGCCTGAAAACCATAAAAAAAGCACCGCCATCGCCATCATATATATCACCCCAGCGCCTTTCACTTGATGTGTTGGGCCCCCCTGCGAGTTTGGGTTTGGCATTTTGTTTGCATTGTAGCGTCGTGTAGGGGGTGGTGTTTAAGGCTTTCTGTTTTATGTGTATGCCGGGTTTACGTTTGATTAGTTAGTTCAGCGCTTAGGGATGGTTTAGAGCTTGATCCGTATATTCGCCTTCCTGCTGCTCGAGCTGTGGGGCTCACGGGCTCACGATCCCCAGACAAACACGCAACACTGGTGCTAAGGGACATTCCAATGGCATAAGACTACCCTAAGGCCGCGCAGTAGTTCTTTTTAGGAGAACGCTATAAGGTAATCCCCAAAAGGAACTACTATGGGGCCTTTGGGTAGTCTGTCTTCCACACACACACACATCATAAGCTTTCAACCAACAACAGATCAGAAACAGTCGCCCCAAATCTGGATCCCAAAGAATAGTTCCTGAATGCGACCATCACTCCATGGAAAAGGACTCCCGGCTTTCAGAACCACCAACAAAACACTAATTTAATGTCCAGGGCAAAATAGCCTATTAACTTCGGCAAAGGTCTCTAAGATTCTCGAAGCCTCGGTGCCGAAGGGACTTTATCTGGAGTCTAAACCTTCGGAAACAAACAAAACAACAACTCTGGCTGCATGTCCTGATACGTTCAAGGTGATGCGAGAGCAGCAGACTTGGTTCAGAAAGCGTGGATATAAACATGTCCTGGCAAACAAAGAAAGCAGTCGAAGTAGTAGAAGTAATAGGAGTCAGTAGTATACGTAGCAGCAGTAAAGTAGTAGCAGTAGCAGGTGATAGCAGGTGTAGAGTAGTAATTAGACAGTTGGTAGTGGATGGTGGATGGTGGCCAGTGGATAGTGGAGACTGGATAGTAGATAGACGCAGTAGTAGTCGTAGCAGTAGTAGAAGTAGTAGTAGTAGTCGTGGTGGTGGTGGTGGTGGTGGTGGTGGTGTGGTGGTGGTGGCGGTAGTGGTAGTGGCAGTGGCAGTGGCAGTGGCAGTGGCAGTGGTAGTGGTAGTGGTAGTGGTAGTGGTAGTAGTAGTAGTAGTAGTAGTAGTAGTAGTAGTAGTAGTAGTAGTAGTAGTAGTAGTAGTAGTAGTTTTTTGGCTCCCACTTGTCAGCGCCGTAATGACTCTGCTCTGCAGTAGTAGTAGTAGTAGTAGTAGTAGTAGTAGTAGTAGTAGTAGTAGTAGCAGTAGCAGTAGCAGTAGCAGTAGCAGTAGCAGTAGTAGTAGTAGTAGTAGTAGTAGTAGGCCCCACAGTAATCACAAACAAACAGGAACTCCTACGGGGCCTATAGGTAGTTAGTAGTAGCAGCAGTAACAGTAGACTACCCTCTCGGCCCCCAGTCGAGCACGGACAAGCGAACCACGGGGGACAGACTGCGGCAATCCTGCTTCAGGTCAAGGTCGCATGGGGTTTAGGGTTTATGGAGGTAGGGAGGTCGCATGCAGGAAGACGTTGAGCCTTTATAAGGGTTCCTTTATGAAACCTAGTATTTTGGGTTCCTAGGCCCAGGGTTTCTGAATCAGGTTCTTATGACATGACAACATGTTCCAAGATTGCTGAGAAGCACAAGGAAATACCTGAACCCCGAGATCCGGATGCCTCCAACCCTCGCACCCTGCCTTCCCTAAGCCTAAGTCGCTGCTTTTGCGATAGGGCGCGCACTTCTGGCGACAAGCCAAGTCTCATTCGGACTAGGGATGAGAAGGCTCCTGAATCCTTAGAGGGTTGCTTCAATTCGAAGGGCGCTATCTCTGAAGCCAGACTTGTGGAGAGCTGCATGTCGGAGTTGCATAAAAGCACAGTGTACAGATACTCGACAGTTAACTACGTCAACACGCGGATTCGGGGTCGGGTCGTCATGGCCTTTCGGTAACCGTGTTTGCGGCCGAGGCCTCTGGCCCACGTATCTGAAATTCGATCGGCTTCGGGGTTGAGGCTCATTTTTTCGAGCCGAAGAACCCATGCAAGACACTGGCCTGAAGCCAAATTGGCCGTTGAACACTACAACATGCGAGAAGCTGTGAAGCTTGCCCGCGGTTGACTTTGTCCTGGGCACTTCTCCAGATGAAGCAACTGCCTACAGTACCGGTCTTGAAACGTCAGGAACAGCAAGGGCTTACCCAGCACAGGTGCAGTAGCGAAGCGGCAAGGCAGCAGCGGATCCAGCTGTCTACATGCCGCCCATTTTGCAAGTTTCCTCTATCACCCCCTCTACACCGTCCTTGTCGAATTCTATAGGGAGTGGAAAACACCCGCGCTCACTCGCCGATGTCTGCATCCCACACGACATCCTCGTCCGTGTGGAGGTCCTTAGTGCTTCCGTTTCTGACACCGCTGAACTTCCTTCAACCCTCAACGGCACTCAAAACGGCCATTTTTTGGAGCAGGGACTCATAGTAGTTCCTTTTGGGGATAACCCTATAGGATTCTAAATATGAGCCCCGAGAAGGAACGACTATGGAGCCTATGCACTGAGCCCTAAAACTCTTAACCGAAAGTCCGACGATGCTCCTCGCCCTGTCCCTCTCTGTCTCGTTATAATTCTGGGGGGGGCGGTCACATGTCACCGCAGGATGTAAAGACGCGGCCTTCTGGGATCCATGGGGTGTACACCCCCTCAGTCTCGCAGGCCCTCATCCAGGCAGCTGGACCAAAAGCCCCAAGCTGTTAATGCAGGGGCCTTAATGATTAGAATAGGGTTTTACGCTCTCACAACTCACAGCCAGGCGAGGTTGGGGCCCATTATACTATACTTATATTATAAGGAACCCCCAAAATAGTATAGGTAATTATTAAAGCCCCGATTACTTTTGCAAATTTGCTTGTAAACAATACTCAGGATTCCGCGCAGGGTGAAGTGAAGATTTCGAAAAGGGGGTTTAGGGTTTAGGGTTTCAGGGGTGTTGTTGCTCCGACGGTTTTGCATCGTGACCGGCAGAAAACGCCGGCCGAGCAACGGTTCGAACCGCATCTGCTTTTATCCAGGGTTCAATGACTGGCTGCTTTTGGCGAGGCCAAACAAAACCAAGACCCTTCTCCTGCAGCTCCTGACTGGGTAGTATAAGAGTATCTGTACTATATCGTTAGGACGAGGTTCCCTAAGTCATAGTACTTTCGTGCAGAGTTGCAGCCACCCTAAAACGCCCGTTTTTACATCTCCGAGCTCCTGCAATCTTGAATCCAACAGTCGCAAGCCGTAAAAGAATCCTACATGATTAGAAACACTTACGCTTCCTTGTTTCCAGAGTAGCATACCCCGAATCTGTATTCTAACCAGCAAGGCCCCACATAAAGCCCTAGAATACCTCTCGTGGTAACCCTGGCAGTAACCTCATATCAGAGCCTAGAAAGACCCTAGAACACCCCTCATAGTAACCCTGGTATTAATAACCTGTTAGATCCCTAGAAAGACCCGGAAGTAACCTAAAATCCCCATTTAGGGTACTATATTAGGGCCCCCTCTGTTCGGATACTCCCATATATTAAACCCTTACCCAAAAAGGAACTGCTATGGAGCCTGTGGGTAGAAAGACCCAAAAGCAACTCCCATATAGTAGGATACTTATTATAAGGACCCCTGAATAAGGTACCCCGAATTTTCGGAAACTCCCATACATCAAATCATCCTTAGAAAGGACCCCAACGAATAGGATACTAAACTAGGGTCCCTTATTTTCGGCAATGTTGGAAGCCCTAGAAAAAACCCCGAAGAAACTCTGGGAGGAACCCAAAAAAACTCTCGAAAGACCCGGTAGTAACCTTAAAGCCCTAGCTGAGTTGTCCTTTAAGCCCTTGGAAAATTATTTAATAATTATGGTTCTCTGCAAAATAGTAGGGGACACTAAAAAGGATCCCAAAGGACGACCCAGCTAGAGAGGACCCCAAAGAGACTCTCGCTACTTGGAGGGTCGGGGGACTTAGTAACTGGTTATTTTAGGGACTTATAAGTACCATAACCCCAATTAGGGTCCTTTTTAGGGTACTTATAAGTCTACGTACTACCTACTTTCTAAGTCCCTGAACCCTAAACCCTATACTACCCTTATAGAGCCCTTTAAAGGAACCCTTAGAATCCCCTTCTACGTACTACCTACCTACTAAGTCTCCCGACCCTCCAAGTAGGTGGCCTGGTGGATTCGGCTCTGGGTCCGAAGCGGGCCTTGGGGCATGCTTTGGCTTGGGGCTTTAAGGTTTAGGGTTTGGGGTTCAGAGTTTAGGGTTTGGGGTTTAGAGTTTAGGGTTTGGGGTTCAGAGTTTAGGGTTTGGGGTTTAGAGTTTAGGGTTTGGGGTTCAGAGTTTAGGGTTTGGGGTTTAGAGTTTAGGGTTTTTTCCCTCTCGCATGGCAGGTTTAGGGTTTGGGGTTTAGAGTTTAGGCTTTGGGGTTTAGGGTTTTGGGTTTAGCTGTCCTTTCCAGCATTTGTGTTTAGGCGCTTTTGGCTTGTAGGGATAAGTTTTCAAGGCGGCAAAGGATATTAATCGGGGAGGGGCGCTGAGGGTTTGGACTCTCGCACTCGGACGATGCCAGGCGAATCTTGGGTGTAACATAGGGGCCTTAATGATTACCTATACTATTTTGGGGGATGCTCTATAGCATACGTAATGTGCCTCAAAACCCCATTGTAATTACTCAGGCCCCTATCGTACACGGCCGAAGCCCAAAGCTGGAATGGCACGGACACCCGAAGCAACGATCTTTCGCAACTTCAAACGGGTTCCTGTACAGGGCAACTCAGTCAGGTTTCAAAAACTGAGATGGTGTCCGCATTGCTGACGTCATCGGGACCAACCTCAAGAGCAATCTCGGACAGGTGGGTCCTGCCTAAGGGGTCAGTAGCCGAAGTAGCCACTTCAACCTGAACATCGGGCACGTCTTCTTTGAAGACGGGCTTTGACTTTCGAGCCTTGGCAGACTGTGCGGCTCTGAGCGGCCCGTTCGAGTAGTAGCTGAGGCAAAAGATCCAGGCGCACCAGGCAACGAACAGGATAACCTGGATTCTTATCTAAAGGCCGCGAGCTGTTAATGAGTAGGTGCCGCTGCGCGGTCATAGGGCAAACAAAGGTAGGGCAAACAAAGGGCAAAACAAGTTCAAAGTTCCGCCTGGTAACCGGCAAGACACTGTTGTGGTCCGTGTACTCGATGCATACCATGAAAGAGGTGTACTCAATGAAGACGCCCAACATCACCGGTATCCACAACACCGTGGCGCAGCCAAAGCGTGTGATGTACTTGGACCAGCGAAGGCCATAATGAAGGACGTGCATACTCAACTGAACCCAGAAGATGCTGACCAAAGCCAAGAAAGCCTCAGCCATGATTCTTCCAGGACCCTGCTTGTACCCTCAAATAGGGGTATATGGTCCCAAATAAGGGGCATTTAGGGTCTAGCAGGGTAGATGGAGGGTCTAGGATTTCGGAAACATTGTGGAGCTTTCGTGTCTTGTTGTTTTAGGCCGGCGCCACTAGAAGTCCAAGAGGCCCATTTCAACAATTCACGCAATCCCCATACCGCCAGATCGAAGCCAGCCAGCTCCACGGGCGGTCCCGCTTTCCAGGAGAGAATGGTTCGAGAGAGGCCGGGCACCGAGGACACGCCGACCTACCAGGGCTTCTGGGATCCTAAAACCCTACAGCCGGAGCCTTCTCCAATACCGTGAACGTTTTAGGGTTACCATTTTAGGATCATTATAAGGCTCCGAGGAAACAAGGTAGGGTCTAGAGCCTACATACATGGGACCTGTATACCTCGTGCTCTTTGGAGCTCGGGCGATTGGGCTCTCAGAAATGGCAGCACTCCCTCAAGGGATCTCCAAAAGCGACTACTGCAAGAACTGGTCTCCTCACAGCGTTCCTTATCGCGGGCTTTGAGGCGACTCATGGGAGCTTTTCCAACCTATCTCTTCTCATTACACATATCTGAATCGGGGTTCCGTGAAGTGAACTTGGCGACCTGGCTCTTGAAACCGGAGCTTGGTTGAAGCAATAATCTGAAGAAGGGGCTCCAACACGTGAACGTTTCAGTAGACAGCTATTTCTGCCGGTAGCAGACCCGAAAACATAAGCCCGCAAGAACCCAAGCCGGCACTGTACATGGCGCTAAACACTAAACGCCAGAAATCTAACAAAACCCAAGCCGACCATGTACACGGTGTAATTCAACGGTATCCAGCTGCGGCCCATTCCGCGCAGCACCGTAGGAGCCAAGCTTTCTTGCACCTGCACAAGTTCCAGCTTCAGTGCTACTCATCAGCCGCTATCCTGTATGAGGGTTACTATATTGGAGATCAGAATTAACCGTTCTTCAACGAGGTGGGGCGTTTAGAGCTTACACGTAGGTGTTTCGGGCTTGTGCTTGTTTAAGGCTTTGCCTTAACCCTGAAGGACCTCCTTTTTCAGGACTTATAAGGAAATCATAATAAGGAACCCTAAGAAGGTAGGATATTCAGGGTTACCCTAAGGCCCTAAAGTAGTTCCTTTTTGGGGTTCATATTTAGAATCCTGTTAGGTAATCCCCAAAAGGAACTACTTTGGGGCCTCTGGGTAAGGTGGGGTTTAGGATTTAGAGGGCTTCGATCTCGGGCTTGGGACTTTTATGGTTCAAGGGTTTACCTTTTTTGAATCACGGGCTGCGGCCGGACGTCTGAAGAAGGGTTTACCTGGACCCCCCAAAAACCCTACCTTTTTTGGATCCCTGATAGGATTTGTTTAGAAACCTTGGGTCTAATAAAGGGTTCCTTATAAGATATGAAATATATCGGGGTCATAAGGCCATATAAGTTGGGGTTTAAGGTGCGGGCCGGGCGTAAGGGTTTATGCTCTGACAGCTAAACACCCAGGCCGACGAGGTTCTACTCCGGTCAGCCCTGGTGGGGCAATGTACGAGCAAAACTCAACATGACTGAACTAAGACACCGACTCGATCGTCAGCCTTCAGAAGAAGCCCATCTGGGACATTGAGTGGCCTAGTTTGAGTTTCTTGAGATTCACAAATTGGGCCCATGAATTTCGCAACTTGAGGGCTTAATTTCAACAAACGGCTAGGCAATCGAGAATGCCTCTGCTTGAGAAGGTACTTTTGCCGACAATTTTGTTCGCCTGCAAAATTCAGAAAACGATATTCCTCTCATCAACATTTGGATGTTCTTTATCCAGCACTGTCCCTGCACTTAAAGTCTAGCCCCCAAAATCGGGCTGTGACTGTGAGTAATCCCACTAGCGGCAATTGCTCGGCAAATGCTGTCCACGCTCCATATCATAGTCGTTTTCTCGTTTAGGCTTGCACGGCATTGCTGCATGATCCTCACGACAGTGCACATGCGCCACACCGGAGGCGTGCTGTCCCTGTGACAGTTCACCTTCTTCATACTGCACACAGGCCGTTCCTGTGATAGCTGAGATCTTTGACACAAAAAATGCAGCACCCTTGTGACAGCTCACCTTCTCATGCAAGCACAGATCCGGCACCTGCTAGCTATTTTCTCAATGCTGGCTTCCTTCCTTGTTTGCTCGCTTGCTTGCCTGCCAGTGTTTACTTCCCTGCTCGCCTGCTTGCTCGTTTTGCGGCCATGTTCTTGTTGGCTTGCCAGCTTGCTTGCATGCCAACAAGAACAACACTCAAACACACACACACACACACACACAGACAGACACACACACACACACACACACAATCAATAAACACACCTGTAAATGGGGACTGCAACCGGCTCTGGCCAACTTGATCTGTCGTCTCTCGCATGCGCGCACTGAGTGACCCGTGGTCTCTTGTACCAGCTTTCCTAATAGGGCACCCTTCTGCGCACCGTACCTGGTAGTCGAACCTGTCTAGATGCTCTGTGCCCACGTCGCCAGGCTCCCCGTACCACCTGGGCCACAAGCTCGGCGGCTCTGCTCCTCGAACTTAGTTGCTGGGTTTAACCTTCCACCATGAAAGAGCCTTCGAACGTGGACCTGCAATGTTCCAGCCTTTTGCAACACCATAACCGTATTTTGACTGCCCTTGGTGCCTGGAGCCTAAACTCCGCCAAGCCACTTCTTGAGTGTGCCGAATATAAGCTCTCGGTCACAAGGTAACACTTCTCCTGTCTGCGGGTGCCTGCTGCTGGCGCCGCGGCTTCTGGGAAATGCTTGCATGGGCAATAACACAGTTCATGCTGCACGAAGCCTAAAAACTTACGGTATAGACCTATGTACAAGAATAGGGTATATCTAGATGCTAGACATAGATACGTGGGAATGGTCTCAGTCAGGACAACATATCAAGCTTGAACTCCTTCTAGCCCTATGTACCTATAAACCCGAACGGCTGTATAACCATGACTTGGTCTTGGGATGTTGGGTTTTCTGCTTACTGTGCTGGCTCTCTAAGATCTAGATGAAGTCTGAGGTGCAGTGTGCGAGCTTTACAGCTTCGGTTTGCGGGAGTTGAGGATCAAGGAGTGCCAGAAACAGCCAATGAAATCCGTCTGACCCCAGCGGCCGCATCCCCAAGAATATGCATGAGTTGACCCGAGCGCCCCAAATGCCCCACAGCATTCAGCCGTACTACCCAACTCGAAAACGGATTCTGCACGAGCGCCTGTGACCGTTGGAGCAGCAAAAACACTGAGCATGCTGAACGCTGAAATTGGCCATTTGCTGAGGCAACTCCTGTAGATCCTCGAAAAGGCTCATCCCAATGTAGAAGGTCACCGGAACGCTGAGGAGCACAAATGGCGCTAGAGACAGCCAGAACCAAAAAAGCTGCTCGAAGAAGTGCCCGCTGCCGTCTTTGAGAGTAAACTCCGGCATCCAAAAAAAGCCTACCATAACAGATACCTCACATCCGGCGAACAGGAAAAGCACCACGGCCATCTTCACAGGCATGATTTGGATTGGCTTTTGCTGCTTCGGATTCCTCAAGAATGTAGCAAGCTCATAGGCGCACCACATCCTCGAAAAATACCTGAACGTGTGTGTGTGTGTAAGCTTTACAGTGCAGTGGCCTACGTCCCTCACTGGGATGGCTTGCTGCACCAACGGGCCGCCGAAGCGGGAAGAGAAAAGAACGCGGACTTGAACCTTGACTTGTTATTAATGCTTGTATCGCTATTGTTATTATTGTTGTTGTCACTCTTGTCGTTGTCCTGGTCCTTGTCCTGTCCGTGCTATGATTTCTACGGTTATTACACTATTACTATTGTTCTATTCTTGTTATTATAGTTATACTACTTTTTATGCTCATTTTGCCTCCTGCATGTGCTTGCTAGTATTCTTTTTGCTGTTAACTCCCTTGTTGGTGTTCTTATTCTTCTTGCTCATATTATCGATGTTGCTCTTATCGTTGCTACTGTTGCTTTTCATGTTACTGCTGCTCTTGTGGTTGTGGCTGTGGTCGTGGTCGCGGTCGTTGCTGTTGCTGTTGCTACTGTTGTTGTGGTCGTCCTCGTCCGTCCCCCGTCGTTGTCGTGCTTGCTGTTGTGATGCCGCTGCCGCTGCCGTTGCTGCTGCAGCTCATGGTGCTGATGCTGATGCTGGTGCAGTTGCTGTTGCTATTGCCTATTCTCTTGCTGTTGTTGGTGTTATTGATGTTGTTGCAGCTGCCGCTGACAATCTCAAACTGATGGCGATGGTGATGATGATGACGGTGATGATGGTGATCCTTATATGATGGCTGTTGTTGTTCTTCTTATTGCTGTAACGGTTACCTTTCTGGTTTTTGCAATTCGTGTCGCGCTTGGTGTTGCTAATGATCCTTGCCTTCTCTGTTTAGTAGTATCGATAGTGTTTCTGCCTCTAACAAGCATACTGAGCAGAACAAGCCTCACATCATTAGCAACACCGGCTGCAACAATTAAACTGCAAAGCTTAGCAGTGCTAGACTTGCCTTCGTCATAACAATTCTTTTGGCTTCCACTAGCTCTGTAGCACGCATGCTAGGTACATGCAAGAGGTTGATGACGATGACCGTGAAGCTGACAGTGATGCTAGCTGCAAAGACAAACGGCACTCGTTGTATTTGGCGGATTCCAGATAGGGGCAGTATCACTATTCGTCCTTCGTCCTAGTGCCAGGGCTTGTTCACGACCACCTGCCGTACGGTTTACAACAAAAGGTATCCAAAGGACCAGAAACAAAGCGAGGGCGTGCTTGCGACGACTGTCGCTGTGCTCACAAACTGCTGCAGAGCCTTCTGAAACCCAGTGCTTCAACTCCAACCTTGACCCTCAGAATACCAAACAGAAAAGGGCCCGAACCAAGATTCACGAGCTTTAAGCACAAAGCCTAATTAAACCCTTAGAAGCTGCGCAGACCTTCATTTTCAACAAGCACGCCCACCTGTGGGACCAGAGGATGGTGAGCTGATGCGATCGATCTAAGAATCCTGATAGGGTTTAGGGTTTAGAGGGCACCCAGAAAGCCCAATACCCCTTAATTAAGGGATACCTAGGGCCCGGGGCTTCTTTAAGGGATCTATAAGGGATCTCTATAGGGTTTAGGGGACTCCAATGGGGAGGGTTTACCGCGAGACATCGCTATCAGGTGTAATTACTGTTGTTCTAAACCTTGAACCCGAACTTAGCATTGTTCCAAACCAACAAGAGAAAACAACTATTACAAATGGGTAGTTGTCAAAATTAGGGTCCCTTTTTGGGTACCCTAAAAAAACAGGTGCCGTATTATTATATTAAGGGCCCGACAAGGGACCATAATTTTGACAACCATCCCCAAAAATCCAAACCTTAAACCCCAAGCCCCGGAGGTCCCTGCAAGGGGTTTAGGGTTTAGGGCTACTACCGTATTCACCTTTTCAAAGGTACCTGATTTCATGGTTAGGCCCCTAACGGTTAGGCGCAATTATATGGAAAAGCAGGTACCCTAAAAAAAGGGGCAGGGTATGACCCTACCGGTACAGAACAGGGCTTTTTTGGGGCTATACCTATAAAGAAACCCCGAGGAATAATATGGGCAATTATTATTTAGGCTTCTACATTATGCTGAATCCCAAATCCTAAACTACACAGATTCTGAACCCTATACCCTCAACTAGAGTATTCTGAATCCTGCCAGACCGAGGATGCCCTGGAGCTTGAGATCTTCGTCATGCTGCGCAATGCAGAGCCTACAGGTTGTGAGAGGGCTTCGGGTGTTAGGGTTTAGGGGACAGGGTTTGGGGTTTCAGGATTGGTGTTAGGGTGGGTTTTGGGTGGTATTTTTTGTGATCTGGGACTTTACGGAATTAAAGTTAACATTTGTGGGTGCTTAGTTTGGGGGCTTAGGGTTTGCAGCTTACGTTGGCGGCTCCTCAGCAACAGCCCTGTGTTTTCTAAAGGGCCCCGGGTTCCGGCAACTGCGAGACAACATCACTAACAAGTTTTCCAGCTACAGGCCAAGCGCTTATCTAAAAAGACAGTCGCCGGCGTGAAGAATAGGGAGCGGATACGCTGCCAGAAAAGCAGGACAAACCAATAGACTGGGTACACGAAGAAGACGATCCAAGAATCGGCGGGAAGTACCTCAAAAGCCTGTAAAATGGCAACGCAGATGCTTGACAGCAATGCAGTAACAGCAGCAGCACGAGAGTTGTGGATCATGAGGAGCGACATAAACTTGAGCCAGCGGGAAGTAGCCCAGTCATGGCTCAGGAACTCGTCGAATGATTCAGTTTGCTTGCTGAGCTTGTACTTCTCCTTGTCGACGTTGAACATGCCAGGATCAGGCGGCATAAAATGCTGGGCCCAGCCACTGAGGCACTCAGACATTGACACTCCGCGAACCAACTTAGGATCCAAGACTGTCTGCCTAAGCTCAGGTTCGGTGCTGAAGAGCAGTAACACAAACCTAAGGTAGGGGCCTGGATAAGTAGAAGAAAGCTTGGCGGTATATTCTACAACAAGTAGAACTATAACAAGGAGCCCCCAGAAACCTATTGCAACTCTTAAGGCCCCTACATTCGCCCATGGACTTCCTTTCTTGAGGTCACCTGGTGTTGTTTGAATAGAGATACAACCTCTAATGCAACTGTAATGCTGCTCGGGTTTAAAGTATGCCTCCAGGGACCTTATTATGGGGTCCTTAAGGGGTCTAGGGCCCTAACTATGAGGTCCTTGGAGGGATAGGGTTAGGCTTTGGGTTTAGTGCCAGCTGCAGGCTTGGATAAACTGCCTTACCTATGATCTGAAAAAAGCACGCATGAGCCTTCAAGGAATGATCACTGCTGCTTCCCAAGCATGCCACTGATGCCATACAAGCAGCAGTACATGCAAAATGCAATCGATAATCGCACTAATTTGCGCTGTTAGAGTTGTCTGACTCGTCCGAATCATGGAACGGCGGACAATGGGTAGCAGTACGAGTTACGGCGGTATTAACCCCAAACGGCAGCAAAGTGCGCACTCATGCCGGTTGTTCAAGCCTCAGCTTTCCGATTTGACTCCATCCAAGTGAATCAAAGTTGCAACTCGCGAACTGTCAAAGAGTCCTCGATGACCTCCTTGCCATCGGCCATGGCTTCTTCGAAGTCTGCCGAGGCTTGAACCCCAAAACTCTACAGCCCCAGAGCTCGAACTGGCTGGAAGATGTTCTCCGTCTTATTCTGCAAAGAATGAACCGCACATGGAGCAATACGCCCGCCATAAGTACGTTTGCCAACACCCATCATGACTCTGAGACTGAAAATTGCAGCGGAAGTGGCGTCCTGGAGGCATTGATTGAAATAATACACCCTTTTTCCCTATAACCGATATACATAACTGTATATTATCCTCCAAACCGTGGTTGGGCTACCTGATGTAAGGACCTGAATAATTAGACTACGGCTTTGGGTGTTAATTGTGGTGCATCTATATATCATGAGGAACCCTAGGGAAGGGTGTTGGTAATGATGCAAGCCTCCACAATAGACGGCCATGGACCGGAAAATGAGAAGGAAAACAGACCACTATTCACAGTTCTATAGAAGAGTCCGGGCTCTCTGAAACGCGAAAAGGCCTTTAATAAGTTCAACAGGGTCTTGGTATGCTATACTATAGGTACACGAATGAACCACCAAAATAGTCTCGGTAATAATTTGGGCCTGTATAATACCACATGGAGACAAGTCTCCACATGGTCCATTTGTCTTAGCTTTGGGCTCCCTGTCGCCCAACAAGCACAAGACCGGCTCAGACGTTTCCCAACTGATTGAAATCCTGAACCACAGAAGCGCAGGACCCGAACCTCATACTAGAAGGGCCCCCTACACTAAATCGTCATAATAGCCCTAATATAGTAACCCTTATTGACCCCATTAAAGAACCCTAGACTAGTTATAAAGGCACCTAAAAATTCCTTATGATAGCCCTCATAGACCCCTTTAACGGAACAGCAATTAAGGCCCCTTATGGACCTCTTCAAAGGAACCGTTTTCTGGTTCTTAAGGCCCCTACATCCCTTTTGCAACTGGCCTGCTGCGACTCCCCCGGGACGAATACTTGACCACAACCACTTAGTGAGTAAGCGACTCGTGCGTTCAGACCTAGCATCCGGAATGATCTCACAAGTGACTACAATTTGCCGAAGATCGAAAAGCTCTGCTGCGACAGTGTGCAAGAATTTCACATGCACATCATATTGATTTTGACACCCACTTGTACACATCCCTAAATCCCTTATAGATCCGAAAAAGGGAACCCTTATATTCTAGTTATTAAGGCCCCTATAGTAGATCCCTTAAAAGGAACCCTTATATTTCTAGTTATTAAGGCCCCTTATATTACCCTTGCAGAACAAGGCACGCGCAGCACGCAGGCGCTCGATGAGAACCGGGGGCACAGCTGGCTCTTGGTCCTCTTGCCGTCATGGGATCCCAGAGACTCCAATATCCCTTAATTAAGGAATAGACCTTAGATCATATTAGGGATTCTACTATACTTTAAGGGGGTATAGGTTTCAGTTTTTCGGCGCTCACACTCGGACAATCCAGGCGAGGAATGTGGTTTAGGGTTTAGGGTTTTGGGATGTCGGGGTGGACAAAAGGTTACTAACATAGAGCCTTCACAATCAGAACGAGGTTGTTGGGTCAGAAGGGCTTACCTGGAATCGGCCACGTAAGACCTACTTGTAGGTAGATGGGAGTTTCCGAATATATGGGACCCTAATAAAGTACCCTAAATAGTAGGATCCTTATTGTAAGGCCCCACAAAACAGGTACCCCCATTTTTTGGAAACTCCCAGAATGCTAATTAGGAGTTCAAGAGAAAATGCGACCCGGCTGTTGGGGCTTTACATCAAACCGTGATGAAACCCACTCTTCCTGGCCCTGGCCCCTCTGAAACCCAAACTGTACCGGGGTTCCATATAATTTTTGCATAATGGGCCCCAAATCCCTATTCAAATCATTAAGGCCCCTATATTAGCCCCGTCTGAAACCCAAAGTGTACCATCAAGGATGAGTTCGGGCTTGCGGTGCTTACAATGGGATCGAGGAGCTTCGAGTTGAGGCTTAGCAAAGAAAAAAGTGACAGGATTGATGGATGAATCCTGTTCTTGATTTTGTATATATATATATATACATACATAAATCTATAGAAATACATATATATATATATGATTTTATATGTACATATTACATATGTATATATTTCCAACCCCCTCCACAGCGTGCCTTTCTGTATGACATATATATATATATATATGAATACTCTTACATGTTCGGTACAGATACAACTGCACGATACTCCACGCATTGCATGGACCAATGGCCAATGTTGTTCACTCCCTGGCTTGGCACTTATGTCTCCACGGGCATGCATGGATTAGATTTTGCTGCCGCGCTCAGGAGACCGCGAAGCCCTCCACTTGGAGGTGACCTCGCAGGTGCAGATTGGGAGCCATTCGCTGGCCGGGCTACCACCATCCAAACGGCTATTCCGTGAGAACGCGGCAGCAGTTGGTCATAGTCCAGTTTCTTGTTTGGAAGGAAGCCCAACCTTTTTCCCTCGACCACCCTTTGCACGACCAAATCTCACCTTCTTCGCATTGAAGCTTCTGATGCGTGCAGCACTTTCCATGATTCGAAGACTTCGCAGTCCGCGAACGGATTGGATAATGCCCCATGTATATTCACGCAAGTCAGCCGTACTTTTGAGTCCGTAACGAGGCAGCACCTCTCGCTCTTGTTCTCGGCCTGCTGCCCTTGAGGAACTTCCAACCTTTCTGCTTCCATTCCTTGCGGATCCCTTCGCACCCCATTGGTCCCCAAGGGTGATCTTCGCAGACCATCGACTTCTGTGTGCAGCACTTCCCGTCACCCATGTACTTGAAGCTGTCCCAGTAGTACTTGGAGTCTTCGCACTCGAACCGACCCACCCCTGTCTCGCAAGACAGTGATGCCTGTGAGTCGTCGCCGCTGGCACCACCATGTTGTGCTGACTTGTTGCTCGCCTCATTGCGCATGTGAAGGCGCATCTCGTGTCTGTAGCCAGAAGCATCCTGAAGGACGAAGATCACGGCAAGCACGCACGACAGGATCATCGCACTGGACATGACGTTGGCAAACTAACTTGGACGTCTGAGAAAGCTCTAAGGCTCTTTGAGCTGGAAGGATTCGTCGCCCTGAGAATAGTCGGCTGAACGCTAAACCCAAAGTTTATGCACAACCCTTTAACATTTGAGCCCCGAACTTGAATACCTAAGCTCTAACATCCTTTGCTTTGAGAATGGACCCGCAGGACCCTAAAACCCTCAATGCCTCAAATTCCCAAACCTAGAATTAAAAACCCGCAGCCTAAGAATCAGACGATATGAACGGATATCCGCCTCTGCGGTCAGGGCTGTGTTCAACTCTGGGTCCTTCAGCAACAGGTTTTCACAAGGCTTGCAACGATTTAAAATGGTTCTGTCGGGTTTTGCTCAGGGTCCTGTAGGGCTTGGTGGGGACCCGAGTTTGCTACAAAGAAGAGGTCCGCTGTTATGCCTGTATGGATCTAAGGCTTCGCGGGCTTGGGTTTGTGGTGTGTGAGTGTGCAGAACACCCGATTGAATTGGTTACACACCTTTCTGATGCGCCAGGACAATATGGGAGTTTCCGAAAATTAGGGGTAATGTGAGCTCGTGATTATTAAAGGTCCCCTCAATAGAGCTAAACTCGGCCCGGCACACAATAATAAAAGGTCCCCTCAATAGAGCTAAACTCGGCCCGCACACAATAATAAAGACCCCTCAATAGTCCTAAAACCCGTCCCGTCCTAAAATTTTTAAGGTTTAAGTAGAGAAGCACTCCTAAAAGAGAACAGTATGCCAACGGAGTTGAGAGTCGAAGGTTGCGAAAAGAGCGGAGCAAGAGGGCTGCTGGAGCGAAGAGGGCTGCAAAAATCTGCTACTATACTACTACTGTACTACTGTACTACTGTACTACTGTACTACTGTACTACTACTGTACTACTGTACTAATGTACTACTGTACTACTGTACTACCCCCGGCCCCCAAACAACTTCGACCCCGGACCCCCCAAACAACTTCAGGTCAGAGATATGCGGACCCCCCGTTAATATTACAGGGACTGGACTTGTTTGGGGGGGGGGGGGGGGGGGGGGGGGGGGGGGGGGGGGGGGGGGGGGGGGTTTAATAATCAGGAGACCACATTACTGTACCTTATTTTGGGGGTCCTTATAATCAGGATCCTACTCTTTAGGGTACTACATTAGGGCCCCCCATTTTCGGCAACTCCCATATCACTTCACGTGGCTGGAAACCGGACATCTTCTTCGGATGACTGCTTGCGGTCTTGGCGACGCGTGGTCTGAGATGGGGCATCACTTTAGAGTCGGGGGGGGGGGGGGGGGCATGCCAAGCTATCTTTCAGGACATGGGCTTGGACGCCTACCAAATTGCAAGGCCAAGGGGCTTTGCCCTGCTATCAGTCTTCTAGCTGTGTATAGTTGTGTATGCATGTACATGCTTATATACATATATATATATATATGTATATAAACTACGCATACATACTAATGCATGTATGTATGCATGTGTATACACATATGTGTATAATATATATATATATATATATATATATATATATATATATATATATATATATATATACACACATGTAGATTTAGTTATTTATGTGTGTGACTGAAGCACCCCAGCCTTAACACCGAAACCGCATTGCATGCGCTGCCACATGAAGGCCTGATGCTTTGGGTTGAAATCTGCATGCAGCAGTGGACGTGGCTTGAAATGGCTTTCAACCAGAGCTCAGCCGAGCATGCCATAACGACGAGTACATTGACAATACCAGTTGTAATCGCCCCTCGGAACCGATATGACGGGCAAGCCCAAGCTATACCAATATGTGGTGCATCAGCAAGGAATACCCGGTTTTGTCCTACCGCACGTCTGGACTCTCTACGAGAGCCAGAAGCCGGATACAGCGAGCCCTAAAACCTGAGTACTCCGAAATCCCAGCAATCTACACGGCAGGACCCTGCGCCCCTGGAGCCCTCTGGCCCAGAAATGTCATCGCATCACACGGAGAGCCTCGATCTTCTGACGGTCGAAAGGGTCCCAGACACTACCTTGGCAACAGTTGCAAGATTGTGGGTTTATGCTCTCGCAACTCGGACTCTGCCAGACGGGTTTAGGGTTCAGATTGTACACACCATGAAACATCGGTAAACAACAGCATGGAATAGGGTGCAGTGCTGATAACACGAGCAATGACAGTAGGAACTATGAGAATCACATGGTGTGGCCTTGCCATCGGCTGGGAGCCTCCTACAATGAATTAGGGTTTAGGGTTTGGGGGTTTGCGGTTTAGGGAATTGAGCATCTAGAAGTCCATGCCGCTGAATAGTTAGAAGAAGGTATGGGCGTATGTTATACTAACAAAATTACTAAACGAACTTTCGTCAGGGAATAGTGGTAGCCTGCGGTCCAAGTGTTCTCAGAACGATCAAGCTCTTAACTGAACCTCTCGGTGCGTGTCTGCTGCATGATTTCGGGCTGCATAAAACGACTAAGAATTAGCAACCAAAAGTAAACAAATAAATTCATATTCACATGTAAGTATGCATATATGTATGTATGTATGTATATATATATATATATATATATATAAATATATATATATAAAACTAAATATAAATATATATATATATATAGAGAGAGAGAGAGGGAGACGTATTCATGTATGTATATATATATATACATACATACATGCATATATATATATATATATATGTATATATATATATACATATATATATATATATGGAATATGTACAAACGTGTGTATATATATGTATATGTATATGTATATACTGAAGTGGAAAGCTACGGCTTAGACACACACACACACACATACATACATACATACATACATACATACATACATACATACATACATACATACATACACACATATGTGTGAGTATCTTCTTTGCATATCTATAGAAGAAGGTGCCTTCTTTTCTGAAGCTCCCACTGTGTGCCTCGGTTGGTCTGCTTCCGACATCTTTTGCGCTTCGGCAGATCGGTGGTGAAGACCCGAGCAAGACAGGGCGGGGTACTTAGGCGACACAAGCTGTCAAGCTCTAGGACTGCTTGTTACGCCGACCTTTTGGAGTAGGATGATATGCGTTGAAGGGCGATGCTTCTGGTTCAGGGCTTAGGGCAAGCCTGGGAGGTACATTCGTGACCCAAAAGCACCGAAACCCCGGAACTTTTGGGGCTACCCTAAACCCTAAACCTCTTGGCAGTTCTTCTTGCAGCTCCGGCTCAAGGGTAATCCTCGATCGAAGGTTCCCATGACTTCTCAAGGACCGTCTCCTGCGCGAGTTTCAGGGGTTTGAGGTTTAGGAGTTTAGAGTTTAGGGTTCAGGGGTTTAAGGCTTAGGTTTAGGGTTTAGGGGTTTTCGGTTTAGGTTCAGGAGTTTAGGGTTTTGGGGTTTAGGCTTTCGGGGTTTTAGGTTTAGGAGTTTAGGGTTTAGGGGTTTAGGGTTTAGGGGTTTAAGGTTAAGGTTTAGGAGTTTAGGGTTTAGGGTCGGCGTCGCAGTAAGATCAGGGCAGCAGCTCATACCCGACAGTTAAGGAATCGAATGTAGGAGTCTGCGTGTTTTGGTCACCATTCGGGAGTTTCCCAAAATGAGGGGTACCTTGTTTGGAAGCCGACCAGGGTGACATGAGAGTTCCTTTAAAGGGCTCTATAAGGGTTTCCGAAAATAGGAGGTACCTAATTTGGAGGCCTTACAATAAGGATCCTAGTATATGGGGTACTAGATTAGGGTCGCCAATAATCGGAAACTTCCCAGTTGGCATGAACCCACCATCAAAGGGCGGCTGCTGCACATGGTTCTTAAGGAACCAATGATTCATGCAGGATAGTTTCTCACACATGCTAAATCCTACAAGCCAACGCCCTAGACCTTGGGTACGGCCCCCTTACAGTAAGAGTCTATAATAGGGCTACCATTAATGTCCTAATATATCTATATTATGAGTATTAGTCAACTATTACTGAGTGGGGGCCGTACCCAACCTAGACCAATGAATCCCAAAACCGACACCTCAAGCACAAGATGCAAAGCCCTAAGGTCCAAAAACCAGCATAAACCCGTGTGCGCCCTCAAACGAACACTGCTAAACCCGTTAAGATCAAACCTGCACAAGACCCCTCGTCATTGAACACCCTGAACCCGGAGCCTTTATCCTGAAACCCCCTAAAATACCCCAAACCCTTAACCCTCAACAAGACCTCATCTTTTGTATACTTCAGACCCCTTGAGCTCCCTCTTTCGCATGTCGCAGGAGTCAGGGGATCCCTCTTCGCCTTGATCGCAGGTACACAAAAAGAGGGTTTGGGATTCTTGATTTGGGGTGTAGGGTTCTTTTTTTCTAAAGTGCACAAAAAGGGTTTGGGATTTAGGATTTAGGGTTTAGGATTCTTTTTTTTAAAGTGCAATAATGGGATCTAGTACTTGGGGTTTAGGATTCTTTGTCTAAAGTACAATAACCCTGCTTCCGTAAGCCGCTACGGGTCCAAAGCCCGCCTGGGCCAGGCCTAGTCTCTGGACAGCCAGGCATCAACACCCGCCGGTTTAGGGTTTAGGGGTCTAGGGTTTACACTCCTCACAAGAGGCTACAGCCATCACTCACTCTATGATCAGGCTGTCGGACGGGTCTTCATCATCACTATGTAGGAGTCTTGAGGGTTTTTCCCTCCAAGGTTCAGGAGCTTGGGTTTGGGTTTCGGAGATCACGTCTTTTCAGGGGTGTTGAAGGCGTTTGGAAGAACTTTTGGGCTTTTGGGTGTTGTGTAAGGGGGTTTCCAAGGGTTTTAAAGCTTCAAAGGGCCTGAGGGTTGCGGGGACATGTGGGTGGTTATCAAAACTGTGGCTCCTTTTTGGGCCCTTGCTAAAATACTGCACCTATATATTTAGGGTACCCAAAAGGGGGCCGTAATTTGACAACTATTCATGTGTGGGTTTTGGGGGCCTCTGGAGGTCATTGGCCGTTTGCTCTCTTCTTCAACAACCGAGCCCCA